GCTCTATCATTTTGACTGAAGTAACCGGCCTGGTACTTGATTTCTAAGATCAATGCCCAGAAGAAAATAATCCTCAGCTGCTCTCACGCTCCCTCTGCCCACATGCCTCATCAACCCCCAGGCACTATTCTTGTTCTTCAAGTGTTTTCTGAAACGTTCTGGGGGCAGAAGGGCTATTTGAACAGACTTCACACTCTCAAAAGGTGTCCAATTTACATTTGACCTTTTCTTTTTATTTTTCTTTTTTTTTTTTGGATATGGTCTTGTTTATTATTTAACTCAAAAAATCTTATTTTTGACTGGACTCAGACTTAGAAGTAGATGCTTTCAGAGAGGACAGCCTACGTCTCTTGGCAATCTGTTCCTGGCGCTTTTCTTTGGCCTCCTTCATTCTCTTGGCCAAAAGTTTAGCATATTCTGCAGCCTCTTGCTTATTTTTCTTAGTACGCTGCTTCTTCAGAGCAATATACCGGCGTTTATGTTGCAGGACACGTGGAGTTACAAGTTGCTGAATCTTGGGTGCTTTGGTCCTAGGTTTCTTACCTTCTTTGTTTAAGGGCTTCCTTACAACATATTAGCGAACATTATCTTCTTTAGACAGATTGAAAAGTTTGCAGATTCTGCTAGCTCTTTTGGGCCCCAGACGACGAGGTACTGTGGTATCAGTCAGTCCAGGGATAGCCTTCTCTCCTTTTTTTACAATAACCAAGTTGAGAACGCTCAGGTTGGCATCCACAATACAACCCCGAACAGATTTGCACTTTCTTTCTCCAGTTCTCCTTGGTCTATGACAGCAATGCCCCTTACTCAGTAGCAGGGGAACACGGGCATGGGTCAAGACACCCTGCTTCATGGGGAAACCTTGCTTGTCGTTCCCACCACTGATTCGGTCCACGTAACCCTTCCATTCTTCACCCAGAGCGTTGGCAGCCACTTCCGTGGCCATATGCTTCTCATAGAAAGTACGAAGTTTGTGTTCATCGTCCACGTCAATGAGTTTCTGGCAGCCAGTGGCTGCGAAGGAGACATTCGGCTTCATCCTGAAGCAGCTGGTCGCCTCTGAGGCGCTATGAAAAAGAGCCACATTTGACCTTTTCTAAAATGAAGTTATACATACGGCCACAGACATCCACTGACGGGATTGAATAAGAATTCCTTGTTTACTGTACAGTTTTAACCTCACATCCTATTATTGGACTTTACTGCAGTTCGAATAAACGAGCTGGCTTTTCAAAGATCAGTTTTGTTTTTATTATTTTCAGATTGAAACTTTCCAAACGCGATGAAAGGTATAGAAAAGAACGTCACTGTCCACTGCACCAAGATCATTCAGACATTGACATCTTGCCATACTTGCTCCACATTTCCTTTTAGTCAGGTTTATTGGGGGATAATTTATATGTAGTATAAATTTTTTGTGTATAGTTTTTGTACAGGTTTT